ATCTATCTATCTATCTATCTATCTATCTATCTATCTATCTATCTATCATCTTCCTTCCTTCCTTCCATATCTGTCTTATCTATCTACATCAAAAGAACACCCTCCCTCTCCTTCTCTCTCTCTCTTTGTGTCACACACACACACACACACACACACATACACCACAATCCCCACAAAATTGCTTCCTTCTCGCTCCGTTTCCTGCTACCCCCCCCCCCCATTCACTTAACCTCCTCATCCCCACCTACCTGGCCTGGCCGAAGCTTCGATGACGCTCCACGGAGAACTGGGTCGGTGTCCCGTGATGACGTCCTTCTGAAACGGCTTCAGGCCGTCGGCCACCAGGGCGTGCAAGGCGGGGCAGAGCGTGTGGAGGATCAGGTCCCCCACGTTGGGGGTGAGCTGACTGTCCCCCAGCTGGGCCTGCGCGGGAGGGAAAGGACCGTGCCAGCGCTTGGCAACAGGGGAAGAGCAATGAACATCACCTCGCCTCGGCTAATTATCCCAAATTAGCATATCCTAATCAGAGGTGGGGATTCAGGAATTGTTACTACCAGTTCTGTGGGCGTGGCTTGGTTTGGCGTGACTTGGTGGGCGCGGCAGGGGAAAGGACACTGCAAAATCTCCGTTCCCTCCACACCCCACTCACCTGCTTTCCAGCTCCATTCTCCTGTGCAGGGCAACCAAAGAAGTCCCAGCCAATCAGCTGAGACTTGAGAGGCGGAGAAGAGATGGGGGCGGAGCCAGTCAGAGGCGGTATTGGCCAGTTCTCCGAACTACTCAACATTGCCGCGACCAGTTCTCTAGAACCGGTCCGAACCGGGTGAATAACCACCTCTGATCCTATTTAAGACGCACATCCTGCCCAACGTTTTAAACAAGGAGTAAAAGAATCCTAATTTTTGGCTTCCAGCCGAGCAGCCGAAAGGGACCAACCGAACCGCGGAATGCTCTTGTTTGCAACGGACACAAGTCAGAAGTTTTTGTGTCCTGTTTAGATTCCACTCTTTATTGGGCATGCAGCGATTCCTCGACTTACAACAGTTTGTTTAGTGACCGTCCCGGTTTTACAGCCACATGGGATAAAAGGGGACTCTGGGCCATTTTTCACCCTTACGACCATCGCAACTTTGCAAGCGGCTGGTATTGATGACCGCCGCAGCATTCCCCACGGGGGTGTGTGTGTGTGTCACACGATCCTCTTTTGCGACCGCCCGACAAGCAAACGTCCACGGGGAAATCCAGATTCGCTTAACGACCGGGTGACTAACCTAACCTTCCCCACAAGGATCCACTTAACGGTGGCCAGAAAGGTCATAAAATGTGGCCTAAAAAAAAAAAAAAGCGACTTCACAACTGTCTCGCTTAAGCAGCAGAAATGTCGGGCTCCGTCGCGGTCGTAAGTCGATGACCGCTTGCAACTGTGGAGTTGGAATTGCATCACCCCAAGGTGGCATTTATTCAGCGTAGCCTACTTCACAGGGTGGTTGTGTGGACAAATGGGCGTAAGGGACTGACCTTTTGAACGAGGTTCCTGGCGGCGCTGAAATGAGCCACGATCTTGTCCACGGAAGCGCTGACGGCCACCAGCAGCGCTAGAAAGAAAGAAGGAGGGAGTGAGGAAGAGAGTGTTGGAGCGGGAACAAGCCCTGGGTCCCGGGAATTTGGATGGACTCTGTTAAGTTAAGCCACACAAGGGCTTTGGGTTCGAAAATGGTTGTTTACAGCCTATTTAATGATATCCGTGATCGCCTCTGCAAGGTTTACTTTTGCTCCAAACAGGAAAGATAAAAGAAATCCCTGGTGAAGATGACGTATTAAAAAAAAGATTTGGACTTGTGCCGAGAGGGATGAATTCACTTTGGAAATGAAAGACAAAAATGAAACAGAATACTACAAAGTACGGGATAAAATTCTATCAATGGTGGGGGGTGGTGGAAAGGAAGGATCTAGAATCAAAAGATAGGAGGGTTAGCAGAACGGATGAGCAGAAATAGAAAATGTTATATAAATGTATATATAAAACATGTGCCTTTTGCCATAATATGTATGGCAGACAGGATTGTCGGGACAATCACACCACGTCCAATGTTTTTAACAATGTATTCAATA